CAGCAAAAAAACACAAATGAATCACCTAATGATCCAGAGGCCGAAACACGCATAGCGGCACAGCCCACATCGACGCTGTACCAATATTTTGATTTCCCGCCTGTAGCAGGCGGGCCCATCGTAATCCGCGATGGCGGTCGAGGCGGCCGAGGAGCTCTGAAGGCGCGGCAACAGGGGGCGGCATGCGCCCCCTCCTGGGGGTCGGCGCCTCCCTGGACCAGTCCAGGGGCCTGTGGTCAAAGGGGGGGTGCTGGAGGACTTCAGGGGCAAGCTTTACGGCGTGCGGCCGCAGGGCGAGGAGCTCCTGCTCGCCCTCGGCGTTTGCGGCGAGCCGAGTAGCGGCGGCATCGATGGCGCGCCGAAGGCCGGCGAGGGCGAGGGGCGGAACAGCATCAGCCCGGCGAGTAGGGGCGAGCGCGAGCTGGGCGACAGCTTCGAGGGTCCGGGCGTGGAGGAGATCCAGGAGAACACGGCGCAGGTCCAGGAGACGACGCTGCAGGAGGTCGACGTGGAGGAGATCTTCGACGGCCAGCCGAAGCTCGTCGGTGGCCAGGTCACAATCGTGGGCCGCCAGGGCAGGACCCAGCCCATCGTCGGTTCGGCTCTGTGCTTCGGCGATTCGCTAGGGGCACTGGAGGAGGAGGAGATCTTCGACGGCATGCCGACGCTCGACGGCGGCCAGGTGAGCAGCAAGGGCCGCCAGGGCAGGACCCAGCACATCTTCGGTGCGGAGGTGTGCTTCGGCGACTCGCTGGGGGCCCTGGAGGAGGAGGAGGAGAGCATTGACGGCCTGCCGAAGCTTGACGCCAGCCAGGCGAGCGTCAATGGCCACCAGGGCAGGACCCCGTAGTTACATCATCGACGCGGACGTGTGCATCGGCGACTCGCAGGAGGCCCTCGAGGAGCCGGAGGGCATCGACGGCCCGCTGGAGCTCGACGGCGGCCGGCGAGCAGCAAGGGCCACCGGGGCAGGGCCCCGCGCTTCTTCGGCGCGGAGGTGAACGTCAGCGACTCGCAGGGGGTCCTCGCGCGTAGGGGCCCGCGCAAACAACCCCCGTCCCTGCCGCGACCGAGGGGCGCGACGACCGCGACTACGGGGCCAGCGGCGAGTTCGGCGCCCACGGGGCCGCGCGGGCTCTACGAGTCGCTTGGCCGGCGCTGGCCCGCCAGGGCCGCAGGGCGAAGCTGCTGGGCGCGAGCGGCCCACTGCTGCGGGGGGCCCGCTCGCGCCTCGAGGGGCGGCGCGGCCGCGAGAGTGTGGCGGCGGCGCGTTTCCTGGCTGGGGTTCGAGATCCTGATCAGATCGGGCAGCGCATCCAGGACGTGGAGGAGCAGCTGGCTTGGTGGGCGATGGGCCGCGGCAGGCCGCTGCCGCCGCTTGGCTGCCCCCCGGTCAGGCGGCTCCCTGACTGCCTAGACAGGGCTGCGCTGGGCTTCCCCGCCGCTGCGGGTGCGGCCGCGCTGGCCCGTCGACGCAGCCCGAGCTGGCTGGAGAGGCGCGACGCTTTCGTGCGCGCCGTGCGTGAACGAGTCGGACCCTCCTGAAGCTGACCCTGGAATCCACCGTGGCGCCGCCGTGGCGAGTTCAGGCTGAGGCTTTTGAGGGGCTCGGCACCAGCAGAAGTGGTGCGAGGAGGGGTGGGGCACTTCTGCAGTGTGCCCCCATCCACCGCCGCCTGGGTTGAAGGCTGGCTGTGGCAGGGATCTGCCAGGCGAGCTCTCGCAGCAGAGCCACCTCCTCCATCATAATAATACTAATCATAATCATCATCATCATCATCATCACCATCATCATCATCATCATCATCATCATCCCATCCCACTTCCTTCGAAGTCGACCTACGACATGTCCAGGCAAGTCTAGCCGAGGCGTCGAGGACGCATTTAGAGGCCTCCGCAATACTGAAGTATTGTATGTAGCACCCCGCAGTTGCGGATCAGAGTGAGGGGGCGGGCGCGGGGTGGGTCGCGGGTGGGCTGCGGGCGGGTTTCGGGTGGGTCGCGGAGGAGGTCGCGGGTAAGGTCGCAGATGGGTCGCTGGTCGGTCGCGGGTGGGTTGCGGGTGGGTCGCGCATGGGTCTCGGGTGGGTTGCGGGTGGGTCGCGCGGGCGGGTCGCAGGTGGGTCGCGGGCGGTACGCGGGCGGATCGAGGGATGGTTCGCGGGATGGGTGGCGGGCCGGTCGCGGGTGCGTCGCGGGTGGGTCGCGGGTGGGTCGCAGGTGGGTCGCGGTTGGCTCGCGGGTTGGTCGCGGGCGAGTCGCGGGTGGGTCGCGGGTTGGGTCGCGGGTTGGGTCGCAGGTGGGTCGCGGGTCGGTCGCGGGGTCGGTCGCGCGTGGGTTGCGGGTGGATCGCGGCTGGGTCGCGGGCGGGTCGCGCGGTGGGTCGCGGGCGGGTCGCGGGCGGGTCGCCAGTTCGGTCGCGGGTGAGTTTTGGGTGGGTCGCGGGTGGGTCATGTGGTGGGTCGCGGGTGGGTTGTGGGTGGGTTGCGGGTGGGTCGCGGGCCGGGTCGCGGGCGGGACGACGACCGCAAACAGCGGCAACAACAACACCAATCATTTCCAGACGGTTTACTCTTATCTGCTCGCGTGCCATTCAACACGTATAACCCAAACCCTCGAGACTCGCCCCCTGCGTCTTCGACCATGTCCCCTTGGGGGCATATTCTTCTTACCTGTAGCGTGTAGTTCGTGCATCCCCTGAGGCAGGGGAGGAAAGGACGGTTGGAGGGAAGGGACAATGGGCATGGAGGAGGACGGAGCACGAGAGAGAGAGAGAGAGAGAGCAGGAAGGGGGCTGGGAGCAGAAAACACGTGGCAGAACCAGACGGGCAGATCGGGTGGGTGGACCCTAACAGGCGGGTCGGGAAGGCGGGCCCAGGCGGCCAGCTCGAGCAAGCGGGTTGCTGAAGCGTGCGTCTTGCATGAATCGCGAGGAAGTCTCGAGCGACAGCGCGATTCCCAAACAATCGTGAGGAAATCCACAGCGAGAGGGTGATTCCTGAGTGTCGAGGGCACGGCGTCTGAATAAATTGCAAGGAAGTCCCACGCGACAGCGCGATGTCTGCATAATTTGTGAGAAACCCCAGCGCGTGAGCGCGATTTGGGAATAAGTATCAGGCGGGAGCCGTTCTTGTTGTAAACCGGGGGCCAACAACACAATTCTGAAAACCTCGATTTTCCATGATACAAAAACAAGGTGCGAGCCCTGGGAAGGGCACTTCGATTGAAAACGCAATGTGCCCCGGAAGGGGGGGTATCAACACGAAATTATTCTTTAGCAGTGAGGGCTCGACAATTCGCACAGCAAATGCCCTCTTCAGCCACGCACCCAGGGACAGTGCATGCTCGTTCGGCCTCCTCACTGATCAATGATCCCATCCATCCCCCTCGTAGTCAGTATTCAGTAATCGTAGTCAGAAGTAGTCAGTAGTCGTAGTCAGTCGTAGTCAGAAGCTGCTCACACGTTGTTCGATCGCGTCTCAATCGATCAATCATCCCCCTCCCCTCTCCTGTTCCCACCCCGATCTCCCCTGCCCGGCTCCCCGCTCCCCATCCTCGCCTGCCCTTCGGCGGCGTCCTCCATCCCTCGCTCCCTTCCTCCCTCGTCCTGCCGCCCCTCCTCCTTCCCCCTCCTCCCTGCTCGGTTCTTGATCCTCCCCCGCTCCTCCTCCTCCCCCTCCCTCCTTCCCTCCTCCCCCTGCACAGCCTTCGCGGACAAAGGGTGTCTTTGCATGCCACGCGCAGACAGCGCCCTGCAACAGAAATGGAAGATAGCACTCCGGGTGGATTCGAGATACAAGCCTATCTCAGAAGCCTGGCGTGACAACGCTAACATCCGGGCCGTACATGCTTGGCAAGACTTTTTTTAGACGGGACGCGGGAGTGCCCGCTCACCGGGGACTCGCACCCGCTGGGGCCGCACGGGAAGAAGAGAAAGCGAGGGGGGCGACGAGGACAGAAGAGAGGCCAGAGGGGCAGGCTCCGCCAGCGTGGCGTCTGATCCTGGCACCGTGCTGTCAAAAGCTTGGGCCGCTCTGTGGACTTGTCGGGTGGTGGAGGGCATGGTTCGATTGACTGCGCGTAAGAGTGACCCTTCGCTAGGGTGACCTCTGGCGCGGGGCCACGGGGGTCCCCCGATTGCCGAATGCGATGCGATAGCAGCGGCCTGCGCGATTCGGTTTGGTTCCCCTCGCGGCCCCCAACAAGCCGCGCATCAAAGGTCACTCTTGCTCAGGGTCGCTCTTGCGTGTGGCCGATTCGAGGAGCTTGCTCGCCTTCGCGGTAGCGAACCAGAGCGCGCGACACGATTGGCACCCCCGAACCCTCCAGGTGCGCCGCCTGGAGTTTGTGTCCAGGGCTGGCTCCACCCGTAGTGAGAGTGGCGAGGGCCAGGTCAAGCTGGCCGCACGGCGAGTTCGTTGTAGAGGACGCCTCCCTGAGACTAAGACGCCACCCCCACGACGCCCCAGCCCAGACCGAGGAATGCTGAGGCCCAGGGGACCGCCGAACTTTGGGTTCAGGTATCCTCTTGAAGGTACCGTGAGTTTCGCTCATTGGGGCGCAGCTCACGATACTCACGCTCTTCGACAAAGAACTTGCTGGGTTCGCTGGGCGCCAAGTTGTGGGGTTCCGCTCCCCATGGAGCGGAAGCCTCGGCCAAACGCTCACCCTCAGTACGCATGTCGCCGAGGCCATCTGTCGCATCCTTGATGTCGCGGTGCGCTTCGACCTTGGAGACAGTGGGTCAGCCCCTGCTCGTCCACCTCCTCCTCCGCCTCCTCCTCCTCCTCCTCCTCCTCGCTCCTCATTCTCCTCCTCCCCCTCGCTCCTCATTCTCCTCGCGCCTCCCCCTCGTCCTCCTGATCCTCCGCCTCCTCCTCCTCCTCCTCCTCCTCCTTCTCTTCCTCCTCCTCCTCCTTCTCCTCCTTCTCCTCCTCCTTCTCCTTCCCCTCCCTTCCTCCTCCTCTTCCTCCTTCTCCTCCTGTCGCCCCCTGGCGCAGGAGCTCAGCCTGATGTCTAAGGAGCGGGCGAAGTCCTGGAACAACACGCTCGAGGGCAGCCGGCGGAAGAAGGCTCAGGCTGGTCTTCTTTGGCGGCCGAGGAGGAGGAGGAGGAGGAGGAGGAGGAGGAGGAGGAGGAGGGAGGAGGAGGAGGAGGATGATGATACTCTCTCTATGTACATACACCATATTTGTATATCTATATATATATATATGTATATAGCGAGCAGTCTTGATGACCGATGAAGGGTACTGAGCCGACGCAGCAGCAGCTAAGCAGCGGCGCAGGCAAAGGGGGCTAGCCTGGAGGAGGCCGAGCGGGAGGGGGTGCGGAGGCGGGGGCGGCGGGGGGGCGGGGCCCGCCTGCCGGAGACGGCCACGCCGTCGCCGTCATGGAGCGACGCCGCCGCACGGCGCGCGGGCGCCGCGCTCGCCGCGCCCTCCCCCCCTCGCACCTCGCTCCCTCGCTCCCCAGACCCCCTCGGGTCGTGAAAAAATCACGACGGGAGGTTTTGCACGATTTTCGGCCCCTGGGGGCCCTTACCGGCCCTCGGGACCGTCAAAAAACGACTCGGGATGAAAAACCGGTCCCGTGGAATGGGTCCTGACCTCTGGGGGTTGCGTCATGAAAAAATCATGACGTCGGGGGTCTGGGTCTCGGAATCCTCTCCTCCGCGCACAGCATCCTGGCAATGTTCTGGGCCCCAGCCCTGGACACCCGTCTGGTGCACACGGCGGGCAAGTCCACGCAAGCGAGCATTGCTGTACGGTCTGCACGTGAGGCACCACAGAGCGTCGGCCTCGGGCCACCAGGCAAAACCACGAGACGGATGGACCATTCGACTCCTCACGCACACCGCGGCCGTCGGCCTGAACACAGACCCAGACCACACCATGGGTGCGCACGGTGAGGAGAGGAAAGAAGCGAGGTCCCTGAAAGACGATGAGCAGCCACAGGCCTGGCAGATGGCAGACTCACCACATAGCATCGGACGCTTATGCTCGGTGGCTCCATGCAGCTCTGCGCAGTCGCTCTCTCGCCGACTTCTCAATCTCAAAGCAGGAGGTCGGGTGGGACGACGGCCCTCCTTTTCAAGCACATCCGTCATGACAGCAACAAGGTGGTTCTGGACCCTTCCGTGCGAGGCCATCTGCAAACCTCACAAAGGGGCCGATATGCCATACGGGAGCTGAACGAGGGTGGCGAGATGAGCCGCGACCTGATCCGCCACATCATTCGCCAAGGATTCAGCCCACGAGAACGGGCCTGGCTGCGAGACAAGTGGCGCGTAGTCTGCACACGAGCCACGCCACCCGGCAGGTCCAGAGCACTCCCGACGCGGCCCCAGAGGTCGCTGTGGGCCAGAGCTCGCTGCTGTAGGCCAGCCTGGAGCCGCGCAACACCACGAGCAACACGCGCCGAGCCGCACCCATACCGCAGGAAAGACGAGAGAGCCCTCAGCTCCCCTCTGTTCGCAGACTGCTTGCCTTACGTCGGTCCTGCCCTGTGCAGGGGGAATCTTCAAAGATACTCAACCCATAGCCGGGGGGCGATTTTTTGACCGTCTTTGGGCATTTCTGGGGTATCGTTTGAGTATTTTTTTCTTGTGCGCCCAAAATCCCCCTGTAGGGGGACAGGCCCGACCTAAGGCTAGACCCGCTCTGGGCGGCCTCCAGGAAATACGAGAGAGCCCACAGCTCCCCTCCATTCACATACTGCTTGCCGACAGCCCCGCCCCCGCTTACACCAAACACAACAACTTCATGCCCTTGCTAGACGCCAGATCGGGGAGGGGCAAAGCAGCATGCTCAACAGCCGCAGCGCCCCAAGGCACCCTCCTCAGACGCCTGTCCCTCGAGAACTCCCCACCGCTCGCATCACCAGGGCCTCAGATGCGATCCCCCCCGCGCACAGGACGCGGACACTCACCTGAGGCGACGGCGATCGGGTTGTCGGGGGGCGGAGGGACTTCGGTCCAACATCGGGACACGAGACCGCGGAGCCAGAACCACGGGAGATCAGCAGAGGCTGGAGCAGGAGATCAGCAGGAGCAGGAAGAGGAGGTGGAGGAGGAGGAGTCGGAGACAGAGAACATACAACGGGAGAACGGGGACGAGCAGGAGAAACATGAGGTGGCGGAGGCGGATGAGAACGATGCGCAGGGTGATCAGGACGACGACGACGACGACGATGACGATGATGATGATGCTGATGATGCTGATGATGATGATGATTTTGATGATGCTGATGCTGATGCTGATGCTGATGCTGATGCTGATGCTGATGCTGATGCTGATGCTGCTGATGACGATGATGTCGATGGCGGTGATTGTAGTGTTGGCGGTGGTGATGGTTGTGACGGTGTTGGTGATGGTGAATGTGATGGCGGCGGTGATGATGAAGGTGACGATGTTACTGATGATGATCACGCTGATGACGATCACTTCAAGGTGATGCCGATGAGGGTGATGAAGCTGATGTGGACGATGCTGAGGATGCTGCTGCTACTGCTGATGATGGTAATGATGGTGATGCTGATGATGCTGATGCTCATGCTGATGATGATGTCGATGCCGATACTGATGATGATGATGATGATGATGATGATGATGATGATGATGATGATGATGATGCTGATGCTGATGCTGATGCTGATGCTGATGCTGATGCTGATGCTGATGCTGATGCTGATGACGATGATGCTGCTGATGATGATGATGTTCTTTATGATTATCAACATGAAGCTGATGCTGATGCTGATGCTGATGATGGATGGGGATGGGGGAAGATGACGAGCACGATCACGAGGAGCAGGAGCATGCTGATGAGCAGCAGTATGAGGCGGTGCTTTGGACGTGTGTGCCCCTTTCGGATGCCCTGTAGGCCCCTGGAGGGGATGACGACGACGACGATGATGCTGCTGATGATGATGTTGATGATGATGCTGATGCTGATGCTGATGATGATGATGATGATGATGATGACGATGCTGATGTTGAGGTTCATGATGTTGCTGATAATGATGACGGTGTTGATGATGCTGATGCTGATTCTGTTGTTGATGATGTGGGTGATGATGATGGCGATGCTGATGCCGATGATGATGCTGATGCTGATGCTGATGATGCTGACGATGCCGATACGAATGTTGGCGGCGGCGGCGGTGGTGATACTTATGAGCATGCTGATGCCGATGTTGATGACGATGCTGATGCTGATGATGATGCTGCTGGTTATGATGATGATGATGATGATGATGATGATGATGATGATGCTGCTGCTGACGATGGTGCTGATGCTGGTGATACTGATGATGAAGATGATGACGACGACAACGACGATCATGATGCTGATGACGGTGCTGCTGCTGATGCTGATGATGCTGACGTCAGGATGGTTCGGCTGTTGCTGCTGCGGTTGTTCATGCTGAAGATGATGCTGCTGCTGATGATAATGCTGCTGATGGCGATGCTCATGTTGATGACTACGGCGATGACGATGGTGCCTGATCATGGTGACGATGGTGATTCGGATTCTGATCATGATGATGACGATACTGCTGGCGATCACGATGTTGATGCGGTTTCTTATGACGATGCTGATGATCATGATGAGACTGAAGATGTTGCTGCTTATGAGATGACGATGGTGATTCTGATGATGATGATGCTTATGCTGATGATGTGGATGCTGATGATGATGATGCTGATGATGCTGCTGCTGATGATGATGATGCTGATGATGATGATGATGACGATGATATGTTGATGCTGATGCTGATCTGATGTTGCTGATGACGATGATCATGATGCTGTTGATAATGCTGATGATGATGATGATGATGCTGATGCTGATGATGATGATGGTGATGATGATGATGCTGATGATGATGATGCTGATGATGATGCCGATGCTGCTGCACATGATGATGCTGATGATCCTGGTGCTGTCATTGATGATGACGGTGATTATGCTGATGCTGCTGATGATGTTGCTGATGCTGATGCTGATGATGAGGAGGAGGAGGAGGAAGAGGAGGATGAGGACGAATGTGAAGATGCGGATGAGGAGGGAGGGGGGAGGGAGGTTGCGGAGGCGGAGCAGGGACGCCTCTAGATGCCCACATAAGCACATAAGGTGATGAGGATGATTATTAATCGCTTCGCTCATTCCGCCGGCCCATATTGTCGCACCGTTGTGGGCTAGCCGAGTTTTGGGGCCTCTTGGGGGCCGTTTTGGGGCCTCTTGGGGCCTCTTTTGGGCCTCTTGGGCGCCTCTTGGGGCGTCTTGGGGGCCTCTTGGGGGCCTCTTGGGGCCTTTTTGGGGCCTCCTGGGCGCCTTCTGGGGCGGAGGGCTCGATTTTTCAGTTCTCGGTTCCCCTCTTGAGCCCCTCTTGGGCCCGTCTTGGGGCCTCTTGGTCCGTCTTGGGCGGCACTTGGGCCGTCTTGGGGGCCCTCCTGGGCCGTTCCGGGGCCGTCTTGGGAGCCTCGTGGGCCGTCTTGGAGCGGTCTTGGGGGCCTCTTGGGCCGTCTTGGAGCGTCCGGAAGCCGAAAAAGCCAGAACGCAAAAAACATAGAAAAAAACAATGAAAATCAACGATTTTGGCCTCTTGGGGCCCTCTTCGGAGGCCTCTTGGAAGGCCCTTGGGGCGTCTTGGAGGCCTCTTGGGCTGTCTTGGGGCCCTGTTGGGCGTCTTCGGGCGATCTTTGGCCGTCTCGGGGCCCTCTTGGACCGTCTTGGAGGCTTCTTGGGGACCTCTTGGCCCGTCCTGGGGCCCTGTAACAGAACTCCGGCATCTCTGGCCCGACCTTGCCGGGGACTTGCCGGGACCTTGCCGGGGTACTTTTCGTCCGGGGACCCCCAGGGGCCGCCCCGCGCGCGCGAACTAAAAATACTGTTAACCAGGTACCGGAGATCTTAGCACGCCCTGGCCCGTTGGGCCGGCGAATTCTGGTTGCGATGGTGATGACGACGATGCTGATGAGGATGATGATGGCGCTGGTGATGCTGATGCGGATGTAGATGCTGATGCTGCGGAGGGTGATGGGGGGAGGAGGCGGAGGATGAGGCGGATGAGGAGGCGGAGGAGGACGAGGAGGAGGAGGAGGACAAGGTAGGACATCTGCATGAATGTGGAGGCGGATGAGCCCTAGCATCACCGTGGAGGAGAACGACTTTGAGGATGCGGGGGAGGCGGTGGAGACGGATGAGGCCGAGAGGGGAGGACGGGACGAAGGTTCTGATGACTGATGGAACGGGCGATGGGGGGAGGGAGGACGTGGGATGATGGAGAAGCTGGAGGTGGTGATAATGATGGCGGTGACGAGGATGCTGAAGCTGATAACGATTCCGATGATTATGACTCTGACGACGATGAATGCGACGAATCGACAGCGACGACTACGATGAAGACGACGCCGATGATTGCGATGCTGCTTCTGACTAGGATGACGGCGATGGCGCCGATATTGATGCTGCTATTACGGATGCTGCTACTGCTGATGACGATGTGGTTGAAGATGATGCTGAGGATGATGCTACTGATGTTGCTGCCGCTGCTGCTTATGCTGCTGCTGATGATGCTGATGCTGATGCTGATGATGATGATGATGATGATGATGATGATGATGATGATGATGATGATGATGATGATGACGAGTCTGTTTATGACGATGATGATGCTGATGCTGATGCTGATGCTGATGCTGATGATGATATGTGATGGTTTTGCTGGGGATTCCGACGACGATGCTGATGCTGATGATGGCGACGATGATGATGTTGACGGTGACATTGCTTATGATAGCGATATTGATTACGATGGTGACGGTGATGCCGATGATGCTGATTCTGCTTCTGACGACGAGGATGACGACGATGACGTTGACGGTGTCGACGGCGATGATAACGACGATGTTGATATTCATACTGCCGATGGTGATGGTGTCGAGGATGGTGCTGATGATGCTGATGATGATGCTGATGATGCTGATGATAATCTGCCGATGCGGATGCTGATGACGGTGCTCCTGTTGCTGATGACGATGACGATGCTGATGATGCTGCTGATGCTGCTGAGGGACGATTGTCATGATGGTGATGATGGCGATGCTTATGATGATGATGCTGATGCTGATGCTGCTGCTGATGATGATGACACTCATGGTGCTCATGATGATACTGATACTGCTGACTACGATGATGATTATTATGGTATGAACGACTATGGTGTTGGCGACAACGATAGGGACGATGCTGGCGGTCACGACGACGATGCTGATGATGATGATGATGATGACGATGATGCTGCTGCTGTTGGTGATGAGGAGGAGGATGCTGCTGCTGATGACGATGCTGATGATGACGACGTTGATGATGATAGTGATGCTTCTGCTGCTGTTTCTGATGCTGATGATGCTGATGATGATGGTGATGCTGATGATGATGATGATGCTGACGATGCTGCTGCTGCTGCTGATGATGATGATGATGCTGATGATGCTGATGATGATGCTGTTGTTGTTGATGGTGGTGGCACTCCTTATGCTGACGATGCAGCTGATGATGCTGTTGCTGACGATGGTCGCTCCGCCGGTTCCGCTCCTGGCATCCCTGCAGGAGGGCCTGGCCGAGGCCGCTGCGGAGAAGGCCTGCGCCTTGCGGGAGGTCACGAGCGTCGCGATGGAGCTCATCCGCGAGGGCGTCGAGCAGCGAGCGGGGATATCACCCTCGGCGCCCTCGACAGGCCAGAGTGGGCGCCCGTCCGCAACGGCACCGCGGGGGCTGTGTGCACGGGCCTCGACATGACGCACCTGGTGCAGAATTGTGTCGAGGTCCTCACGGCGGCGCGAAGGGCGTGCCAGGCGCGCACCGACGAGGATGACAGCACCTGCCGTGTGAAGGCGGAGGGACGCGCCGGCCGCAGGGACGGCAGGCGCGGCGGCGCAGACGGCCGCTGGCCTGCGGGGCCGAGAGCCTGCGGGCAGCGCGACGTCGCGGGAGGTGTGCGAGTGGCTGTCCACCGCTGCGCTCTCGCTCCCCCGGGGAGGGCCCCGCCACCCGCGAGTGGCTCGCGCTGCCAGCCGTGCCAAGCCGCGCCCGCAGCGGACGGGGGGCGCGGTGCGCGACCCCCCGCCCCCAGGCATCGCTCCAAGCATCGTCCCGCGCCTCGCGTCTCACTCGTTCCCCCTCCCCCTACTCGCTCCTCGCACCTCGCCTCCTCTTCGCTCCTCCCTCTCCTCCTCCTTCCCTCGCTCCTCGCTGCAGCTCGTTCGCTCCTCGCTCGCTCCTCGCCCCTCGCTCCTGGGATGCTCCATTCCCCGCTCCCCGCTCCCTCCTTGCTCTTCCTCCCCCTCCTCGCTACCCCCCCCCCCTTTGAGCTCCCGCGAGGGCCCCCCCCCAGGAGAAGAAGGAGAAGCTCGAGGCCCAGGAGCGCCCTGGCGCGCGCCCCGGCCTCCGGCGGCCCCTCGCCGCCCGCCCCCCTCGGCGGCCCTTCGCCGGCCCCTCGCTGGCCATCGGCGGCCTCGCCATGGGCGCGGAGGTCGTCGTCGTCGCCGTCGTCGCCGCCGCCGCCGCCGCCGCCGCCGCCGCCGCCGCCGCCGCCGCCGCCGTCGTCGTCGTCGTCGTCGTCGTCGTCGCGGCCGTCGCCGTCGTCGTCGTCGTCGTCGTCGTCGTCGTCGTCGTCGTCGTCGTCGTCGTCGTCGTCGTCGTCGTCGTCGTCGCCGCCGCCGCCGCCGCCGCCGCCGCCGCCGCCGCCGCCGCCGCCGCTGATTCTGTGGTCGCCACCGCCAGCGTCGCCGCCGAAGAGCCGAGCTGGCCCACCTCCCGGGCCGAGCCGCCCCGGCCGGGGAGGAGCTGGAGCGGCAGAAGCAGGACGCCGAGGAGGCGAGGATCCAGCTCGAGCAGCGCAAGGACCACCCTCCCGCCGTCCGCCGCTGCTGTTTCGGGGGCTGTGAAGAGGGGGGGTGATGACTAGGGGGGGTGGATATCATGGCGTGGGCCATGATATTCCCCTAGATTTCATGGCGCCTCTTCTTATTTCTTTACGTCCCTGGCCACTCCTTGGGCCGCGCACGTGCCGCCGGCCATGATTTGCACCCCCCCCTCGTGGACGCTTCTCTCTTGGCCGCCACCGACTGTTGCTGGGAGGGTGGCGGACTTCTGGGCGGCGTCCAGCCCCTTGTGTCTCCGGAGGCCTCCCAGGTGGGGCCCTGGTCGATGGGGTCCCTCGACGTTTTTTTTTGGTTGCCAGGGGGGGGGTTCCTGTGAAGTCCCTTGGGAGTCTGAGTCCCTTGGGGTGCTTTCCATGGGGAGTCTGAGTCTGAGTCCGAGTCTGAGTCCCTTGGGGTCCCTTGGGAGTCTGAGTCCCTTGGGAGTCTGAGTCCCTTGGGAGTCTGAGTCCCTTGGGGTCCCTGTGAAGTCCGGTTTTTTTTTTGGCTGAGTCCCTTGGGGTGCTTTCCATCGGCTGCGTCTCGTCCCTGGCCTGCCGTGGGTGCCCAGATCCTCCCGAGCGGCCGCCGAGAAGCCGAGGTCTGACTCTTACACTGGGCGCGCCTCCCCGGACGCCCCGCGGCCCCAGTTCTTCGAGGCATGCGCCCCCGCGGCTCCTTGCGGCTCCTCGCGGCCGGCCCGCGCCGTGTCGGTTGCGGCGGCGAGACCCCGCCGCGGGCGCTCCGGGTAGAATGCCGCCAGTGGCCCAGGATCGGCCACTACTGGGCGATCTGGCGATCGACAAGCCGCCGATCGTTCCAGGCCGAGCGAGGCTCGTTGTGTCAGAGACCGGCGCCGAAGGCGTCAGCCGTGCCTGGGCCCGCGGGTTTCCTCCGGAGTGGTCTGGCCACGTCATCTTCTGCTGCCGCCCTTCGCCTGTCTCGCGCGTGCCGTGGAGATCGGTGTCACCCGCGGGGGCGCGAGGATAGTCGCGCTTCGCGCGTGGCGGTCCGAGGCTGCCCTTCTCCAAGGAGGTGTCGCGTGGGCGCGAGGGCGCGAAGATAACCGCGCGTCGTGTATCGGGTGAAGAGACCTATGCACATGCACTGATCCTGGCAAGGCCCATCCTTGACCCAGGATCGGTGCATATGCCTTCCTGGCCAAGGTAGGAGGGCGTATGCACCGATCCTGGGCTCAGGATGGGCCTGGCCAGAATCGGTGCATGTGCATAGTTCTCTTCCCTCTAGTGTACCGCGGTGCGAGATGCGTGAAGTTAGGTGACCTGTGTGCTGTGGCTGATGGCGTTCAGCTCCAGTGTCGCGTCCCATAGCCCTCTCGGCAACATCGGTCCCTGCTCCCTCTTCCTTGCCCGAGCGGCCGGGCGGATGCAAGGCCTCGTCGGCTGCTCTGCACGGTCCACTTCTGGCGCCACGAAGCTCCTTCGCTCTCCCTCCCCCCTTTCCACCTGGGCTTCCCAGAAGGGCTCGGCGTCGCTGGGGTCGGACCATCGCGCCGCATCGCCGAGGCATCGGCGATGGGGCTCGATTTGGAGCCCGATGTCCTCCACGCCGACGGCGTCGGTGCATCGCCGTCGCCGCCGAGGAATCGCCGACGCATCGGCCAGCCTGATCCTCCCGCCCCATTGACCTGGACCTCCTTGTGGAGGCCTCCTTTGCAGGGGCAGCCTGGAGTCGAAATCGATGCTCGGGATGGGTTACCTTCCCAAGGGTACCCTTGCATCCTTGCTCGATGGCCGGCCCTGTTCGTAAAGCGCATCACTTTCGACTGTCCCTGAGATCCGACGCAGCGAAACAGATCAACAACGCGAAACTTCACGCCCGGTGCCCTAGGCCCCATCTCCCTGCTCCGTTTTCCGGGCCGCGTCGCCCTGTGAGGGTCCTGGGGCCCGAAGAAGAGGCGAGCGCGCCCGGCCCCAAAAGTCTGTCGAGACGCCGGGCTCTCAGGGTGCCCGCGGCTTTTTGGCCCTGCGCTGCGAGCGCGAGCCAGGGGGGGCCCTCCGCTACGTCTGGGTGGCTCCTCCGGGCACCGCCGCTCCCGCGCTGGACGTCGGAGCGCTCGCACGCCGAGGGGCGCGGCGGCGCCTGCCGGAGGAACGGCTGGGGAGGAGGAGGAGGAGGAGGAGGAGGAGGAGGAGGAGGAGGAGGAGGAGGAGGAGGAGGAGGAGGAGGAGGAAAAGGTACCCATACAGCTGCCCATGTCTCGTTTTCCCCCTTTTGTGCCTTCTGGGAGGCCCTCGTTGCCACGGCTAGATTCGCCTCGAACTGCTCAGAACGCACCTCAGAAGAAGTCCAGAGTGTAGCGGTATCGGTATCATGTGGTTTCCCTCGAGTGCAAAGAGGAGGCGGATATTGATCAAAGGAGGAGGATAATGACGAGGATCATGAGGAGGCGGGAGGATCGGATCGGAGTGAAGGCTCATCGTCAATGTACACACATATCTATCCACAAACTACGTACATACATACAAACATACATACAAACATACATACATGCATGCATTCATACATGTATACATACACGCACACATACACATATACGAAAGAGCGTGTTCTACCGCTGCTGGCGGAAAACCGGGGGGGGTCACTACCGGTTCGAACCCCTCCCCTCCCCCCCCTCCGGAAATCCGGGGGGGGTCACTACCGGTTCGAACCCCTCCCCCCCCCCAGTTCATCATGAAAAGGGGGGGGGGGTCACTACCGGTTCGAACCCCCCCCCTCGAAAACCGAGTGGGGGTGCGGACAGTGGTCGGGACGGTGTTGGTGGGGACAGTGGTGAGGGGACAGCGGGACAGTGGTGGGGACAGTGGGACAGTGGGACAGTAGAGGGCCGGTAGTGGTGGGGACAGTGGTGGGGACAATGGTGGGAACAGGGGGGACAGTGGACAGTGGTGGGGACGGTGGTGGTGGGGACAGTGGTGTGGGCACAGTGGGAATGAGGTGGAAACAGTGGGACAGTGGAGGGTACAATGGTGGTGGGGACAGTGGTGAAGGCGGTGGCGAGGACGGCGGTGGGACAATGGGACAGAGGTACAGTGGGGACAGTGGTGGGGACAGTGGGGACAGTGGTGGGAACAGTGGGACAGCTCAGTGGGACAGCGGCGGAGTCAGTGGGACAGTGGGGACAGTGGGGATAGTCGGGCAGTGGTTGGGGCCGTGGAGACAGTGGGGAGAGTGGAACCGTGGTGGGAACAGTGGTGGGGACAGTGGGGACAGTGCGACAGTGGTGGGGGCACTGGTGGGGACACAGTGGGGACAGTGGTGGTGAGGACAGTGGTGCTGGGAACAACAGTGGGGGATGTGATGCGGACGGTGGTAGGGACCGGGAGTCGTTTGCTGGCGGTGAGTGGGGGGGGGTGGGGAGGGGTTCGAACCGGTAGTGATCCCCCTCCGGTTTTCGAGGGGGGGGGGGGTTCGAACCGGTAGTGACCCCCCCCGGTTTTCCGGATCCGGAGGGGGGGGGGGGGAGGGGTTCGAACCGGTAGTGACCCCCCCCGGTTTCGAGGGGGGGGGGGGGGGGGAGGGGTTAGGAGAGGGGGGGGTTTTTTGCCGGGGGAGGAGGAGGGGGGGGGGGGGGTTCCAGCAGGGGGGGGGGATTTTCGGAGGGGGGGGGAGGGGCGACCCCCGGTTGGCAATTTTCCACAGTAAAGCGGTGGTGGATCACGCTCTCACTCACATATACATACATACACATGCCAACCTAACCTACCTACCTACCTACCTACCCTACCTACCTACCTACCTACCCACCCACCTACCTACCTACCTACCTACCTACCTACCTACCTACCTACCTACCTACCTACCTACCTACCTACCTACACACATACATATATACACGTATACACATACACATATAATACATACGCACATACATACATACATGCAATACTGTATGCAGACATACATACACACATACATCCATACTTACATACTTACATACTTACATACGTACATTCGCACACATACAAGTATACATCCATACATCCATACACACATACTTCCATACAGTCATGCATCTCTACAACTCTACACCTCTACCTACCCAAATGCCTACATACCTCCACGCCTACATACCTTCAGACAGATATTTACACACATACATACACACATACGTACGCACATACAGGTTACACATACATACATACACACGTGCATGCATACACACATACACTCATACACACATACCTGCGTACCTACCTACATACGTACATACACATTCACACAACCATGCATGCACACACATCCACACATACATATATACACATACATACATACCTACCTACAAACATACACATACACATATACAGACATACACATGCATCCATGCACACGTACACATACATACACACACAGCCAGCCATACACATACACACATATACACATACACAAATGCATGCATTCATCCATACATACATACATGCAAGGTACAACTACATACAAACATACATACACGCGTACATCATACATGCACACACACATACATACATACATACACACATACATACATACATACATACACACACATACATACATACATACATGCATGCATG